GGGGATTTGGGGGATTTTGGGGGGATGTGGGGGAATTTTGGAGGGATTTTGGGGGAATTTGGGGGGATTTCGGGGATTTTGGGGGATTTTGGAGGATTTGAGGGGAGTTTGGGTGGATTTTGGTGTGGTTTTTGAGGATTTTGGGGGATTTTGGGGTGGTTTTGAAGGATTTTGGAGGGATTTGGGAGGATTTCAGGAATTTGGGGGGATTTTGGAGGATTTGGGGGGATTTGGGGGTGGTTTTTGAGAATTTTGGGGGGATTTTGGGGGATTTTAGGGGATTTTGGAGGATTTTGGGGGGATTCGGGGGGATTTTGGGGCGGTTTTTGAGGATTTTGGGGGATTTTGGGGTGGTTTTAGAGGATTTGGGGGATTTTAGGGGTTTGGGGCAGATTTTGGAGGATTTGGGGGGATTTTGGGGTGGTTTTTGAGGATTGGGGGGGATTTTAGGGGATTTTGGGAGGATTTGGGGGGATTTTGGGGCGGTTTTTGAGGATTTGGGGAATTTTGGGGGATTTTGGGGTGGATTTAGAGGATTTGGGGGATTTTGGGGTGGTTTTTGGGGATTTGGGGGATTTTGGGGTGGTTTTAGAGGGTTTGGGGGATTTTGGGGTGTTTTTTGAGGATTTTGGGGGGATTTGGGGGATTTTGGGGCGGTTTTTGAGGATTTTGGGGATTTGGGGGGATTTTGGGGTGGTTTTAGAGGGTTTGGGGGATTTGGGGGTGTTTTTTGAGGATTTTGGGGTGGTTTTGAAGGATTTTAGAGGATTTTGGGGTGGTTTTTGACGATTTTGGGGGGATTTGGGGGATTTTGGGGACACTTTGGTGGCACCCAAGGGCCCCGCGTGTCCCCGGGGGGGGTTGGGGACACGGGCCCGCCCCTCCCCCCCCGGCACGCGGGGTTTATTTTTAGCCCCCCCCGCCCCTCCCCCCTCGGCAAAGGTCAGGGTGGGGGAGGGGCGGGGGGAGGGGCCCCTCCAGGGGGGCTCCGGCCCCGCCTGGGGGCGATTTTGGGGTCAAATATTCAATTTTTGGGGTCCTTTACGGCATTTTTGGGGTCACTGGGGCAAATTTGGGGTGATTGATCTCATTTTTGGGGACATTTGTGGCATTTCTGGGGTCATTTGTGGCGATTCTGGGGTCGATCATTCAATTTTTGGGGTAATTTTTTGGCAAGTTTTTGGGGTTATTTATTGCAGTTTTGGGGTCAATTATTTCATTTTTAGGGCAATTTATTCTATTTTTGGCATTGTGGCATTTTTGGGGTCGATTATTTTGTTTTTAGCGTAATTTATTCTATTTTTGGGGTCATTTATGGCATTTTTGGGGTCATTGGGGCAGATTCGGGGTGATTTACCTCATTCTTGGGGACATTTATGCCATTTTTGGGGTCAATTATTTCATTTTTAGGGCAATTCATTCCATTTTTGGGGGTCCTTTATGATGTTTTTGGGGTCGTTTATCCAATTTTTGGGGTGACTCATCCCATTTTTGGGGTCATTTGTGCCATTTTAGGGGAGTTTAGCCCATTTTTGAGAGAATTTATTCCATTTTTGGGGCGGTGACAATTTTGGAACCCCCAAATTTTGGGGTTCAGGTGAATTTTGGGCGCTGGCTGATCGAGGGCAGCTCTTGGAGGGGATTTAGGGTGAACTTTGATTTAGGATTTCCCAATTTTGGGCCACAAACCAACCGAGGTGACCCCAAATTGGACATTTTGGGGCGGTGACAATTTCGGGACCCCCCCAAATTTTGGGGGTTCAGGTGAATTTTTGGCAGTGGTTGATCAGGAAGAGCACTGGGAAGGGATTTAGGGTGAACTTCGATTTAGGATTTCCCAATTTTGGGCCACAAACCAACCGAGGTGACCCCAAATTGGACATTTTGGGGCGGTGACAATTTCGGGACCCCCCAAATTTTGGGGTTCAGGTGCACTTTGGGCGCTGGCTGATCGAGGGCAGCCCGGCCGTGGTGCTGCTGGACGTGGGCGCCACGGCCTGGAGCCTGGAGCGCTGGAAGGGCGAGCTCTGGGAGAGCTGCGCC